CCCCCCCCCCCGGGTTACCTTCCTGCGGCCCTTCCCGCACCCCCCCACCTCCGCAGCTCACCCGCTCAGGGCCGGCTCCCGGCTTTTTGCGCCTCAAGCAAAAAAAAAAAAAAAAAAAGGAATCCGGAGTGCCACCCCTTGGAAAGTGCCGCCCCAAGCACATGCTTGGAGCACTGGTGCCTAGAGCCGGCCCTGGTGCTGAGCAGGGGGCCCCACTGGAGTTCTTTCTGCTTGGCTACTGCTGTCTGTGGCTTGAACACAGTGCTGCTTCTTTCTTTTCCTGTGCTCATTCTCTCATTTCAGTCCCACTGTCCCCCCAGTCATGGATCTGCAGGATCAGAGCTATGCGCCAGCTTTTACACAGCCTTTTGGAGGAAACCCTTCAGTAATGCAGACCCCCAAGGAGTCTCGCTCTTCCTTCAGGGTAGGCCTTGCAGCGTCACCGCCTCCAAGACTGAGCCTCTGGGCTTCAGCCCTTCTGCTTCACCTCAGGAGCTCTGCTCAGCGAGTCCAGCTGAGATAGACTCCTGCTCAGAGCCATGTACGCTCTTCAGGGACTAATGCACCTTGGCAAGTATTTGCAGTGACACCAGGCAGCCTTTTCAGACAAGTATTAGTGATCTGGAACAGAGCCTCGGAAATCCTTAGGCTAGCACAGAGAAATGAAGGTTAAGCCAGGTCATCTGACCAGGCCAGAGCAATCCACCAGCCAAGCGATAATGGATTCAATTTCAAGCTCTGTCTCTCTCTGACCCAGTGGTTCTCAACCTATTTACCATTGTGGACCGCATCCAATACTACCTGTATGGCCCTGAGGAGGTCACAGGGGCTGCAGCTGTGTGCTGATTGAGCTGCAAACGGCCCATGGGCCGCAGGTGGAGAACCACTGCTCTGACCCTTCATCAGTCCCTGCTGAGAGCTTCTTCCGGAAGCTCATTCTTATCCCCTGCTGTCAGCTCTTAGCCCTTTGTTCTCAAGCTGGTCTTTGCTCAGCTGCCCTGCTGGGAGGCGAAGGGGGAAATCTTTCCCCTTGGTCACTGATTGCTAGGTGTAAATGATCTGGTCACTGGGTCCTCCCATTGTCTCTTTTGGATTCAGCATCGAAATAAGTTGTTTTCAACAGGTTCCAGTCAGTTTCTTAACAACCCATTTGTTGCACCCCCAAACAGCAAGGTGCCACACCCCTCATGTCTCCTGTGCTGCCCCAAGAGCAGATTTTACCCTCTCCCCACACTGGATAGCAATGCAAAGTACAGAAGGAAACGGAGGCACCCACAGGATTCATAAGAATATTATAAAAATTCCCACTTTGTCACATCACTCAGTTCAGAGTTTGTGTTCAGTTCTGGTAAATCCTCGACATATCACTTGGAGGATGTGTAGATAGAAAGCTTATGGAACTGATCTCTCTCTGCAGCTGCTCTTTCCCCTGTTCACCACCAGATGTGGCAGGGAGCGCTCTACCACAGAGCTTATAATTAAGACACTTGCTCTTTATAACAAAAAGAGACAATCAGGGCCGGCTCTAACTTTTTTGCTGCCCCAAGCAGCAAAAAAAAGCGCCGCCCCGCTGAGCCCCCCCCACCGAGCGCCGCACCGCCAGAACCCTCCCCCCGAGCGCTGTGCTGCCGGAGCGCCGCCTCCCCCGCGGAATGCCACGCCGCGCTGCCCCCCGCCACCCCAAGATTGGCCGCCCCAAGCATGTGCTTGGTTGCCTGGAGCCGGCCCTGGAGACAATAATGAAGAGTGGCCACAGGCTGCAGGGAAGGGTGGAATGGGGGATGGGAATTATTACAGAGGATATTCTGGTAAGTCCTGGTGAAATGTAACCCCTACTCCTCTTATATTTGGACACTTGAACAGAAACCCGTAGTAGCCCTTTTGCTGAGTGTGATGGCTTTATGCTGCGAGAGTGGATAGCACAGGGGTAGAAGGGCTGTGGATATATTTGGACAGGCTGTGTATTGAAGATGACCTAATGACATACAGTCTTTTCTCACCCCTTTCCCCCACCAGCTGGACCCAAACGCAACAAATTCATCAGAAGGAAACTGGAAAACTCCTCCAAGGAGAAAAAAGGTGAGCGAATTCCACATTTCAGTCTGGCATTGTGCTCCTCAAAGCCATCATGGTCTTTAAAAATAAGCTAAGCCAAGGCACCCTATCTACCTGGATTCCATTGTGAATTTCTCCTTTGTGGCATGTTATTGCCCCCTCTCCCCCAGTGTGTTCATGTGCATGTATAAGTATACGGTCATAGATGCGTATGTGTGGGTATGGGGGAGTGCTGGTATGTGAACGTGTTACTTCCCAGGGAGCCTGTTCTTGAGTCTCTCCTGCAATGGATTCCCCTTGAGGAGACTGTTCTACAATCCAGGTGCTCCAGCTGTTAAGAACTTTCACCTAAACATTCCTTCTTTCACTTCAGGCACTCGCTCCTTGTCCTGCCTCCAACCAAGCTTGCATACCACTGCACGCACACTGACACACACACACCCTTCACTCTAGTACATGGGTGGCCAACCTGAGCCTGTGAAGGAGCCAGAATTTACCAGTGTACATTGCCAAAGAGCCACAGTAATATGTCGGCAGCCTCCCAGCAGCTCCCACCACCTGCTTCCAATGTCTCTCGCCAATCAGCACCTCCCAATCAGCTGTTTTGTGGAGTGCAGGAGGCTCTGGGGCAGAGGGAGGAGGACTGAAGGCATGGCAGGCTCAGGGAGGGGGCGGGAAGGGGTGGAGTGGGGGCAGGGCCTGTGGCAGAGCCAGAGGTTGAGCAGTGAGCGCCCCCCAGCACATTGGAAAGTTGGTGCCTGTAGCTCCAGCCCCGGAGTTGGTGCCTATACAAGGAGCCACATATTAACTTCTGAAGAGCTGCATGTGGCTCTGGAGCCACAGGTTGGCCACCCCTGCTCTAGTATATGAGCGCTTCCCTTGGAAAATCAACAGCAGTGGCACAGGCCCTAGGGGACTTGTTACCAGATGTGCCCATTACTTTGGAGTATGCTCATTTATTCGGGTTACTCCTCTGGGGAAGGGGGTTCTGTAATCCTGTCAATGTACTGCTTGTATCACTTGTGTTTTCATATGGAGCTTTACTTCTCCCTTCTGCAAGTCCCCTCCCAATGGAGCTATCCTGCAGAACCTAGGTTCCCTAGGGCTGGGTTACTGCAGCCCCAGATCCAGATAAACACCCACCCACCCACACATTAACAGAGCAAGTCTGAGCAGACCGGGTCAATCAGCACTGTCAAGCTGACCCCTTATATGTCTTTGGACTCACTGGGCTGGAGGGAGCAGCACTTTCAAGTTGTCTCTCCTTATATGCTCCTGGGCTCCATGCACTGGGTCGAGCAGCACTTTCAAGCTGTCACCCTTATGTGTCCCAAATTCAGCACGTCCCTATCCCCGCTCCCCCAACACAATTGTACTGGCAGTAACCTACTCGATGAGCAAACCCCACAGTATTTTGGGCGCTGCAGGGATCTTTAGCTTAGGTAAAAGAAGCGTTGTAGGAGTGAGTAGGGTTTTTTGT